AGCAGGGAGCCCGATGCGGGACTCGATCCCAGGACTCCAGGATCATGACCTGAGCCGAAGGCAGTCGCTTAACCAACTGAGCCACCCAGGCGCCCTGTTATATAAAATTTTAAAACTCACACTGAATTGATTGCTCTGGCCAATGTGCTGCTTAAAAATAAATTTATTTTGACTAAAATACCTATTTATTTCATATATTCTTTTAGTAAGGGTATTAGATGTGTTTTGAGTTTTCATATTCTAGTTTAGCTTAGGGTACTTGGTACTTTTAAATATTAAATCTTTAACTTATAAAGTATGGGTTTGGGGGGTTTTTTTTGGTTTTTTTGTTTTGTTTTGTTTTGTTTTCCAAAATGAACCATTAAAACTAATTCCTAATGTATATTATTGTACTTTTTTAAGACGAAATAACTGCTAGCTTCAGAAGATTTGGGCCCTTGGTAGTAGATTGGCCTCATAAAGCCGAAAGCAAGTCCTATTTTCCACCAAAAGGTAAGAGTTTTTATTGTTAATATTTTCTAAGGAATCAGTTTTATGAGAGCAAATAAGACAATATCAATTACTTTGTGTTTTCTTTTCTTTTAGAATTGTGTATCATCCTATCTTTATATAAAAACTAATAATTTGTGAAGGCTCATAACATGTGTCAAGTGAGGAAGAATGGGCCTAAGGACTATCATAGTTTCACTTTAAGCCACTCAGGAACCATTAGACCCTTGTCGTGCTTTCTCTATAATGATTTGACAGTAATTTCAAAGACTCAAATCAACAAATGTTTTGAGGTTTTTTTTCTGTTTGAAGCATCCTTCTAAGTAACTTGGGTACAGACATATAAAAAGTGTCCCTCTATGCAGTGAAATTAAGATCTGTTTGAAGTGAGAGAAAAATATAAACACATGAATAGTATAAATATTGCAAGATTTACTTAAGTGTTCCAAACAATAGCAGATAGCAACAGAGCAATATTTACTCTGTGGGTGAATTTAGCTAGAGGAGAAAGTGACTGCTCCGAACCCCCATTATATAAAGAGATCAGATGTGAAGAGAATACCTAGTTGTGCTAGTAACTTATTGCTAGGATGCTACTGTGGCTTGTCACCATAGCACAAGATCACAAATCACACTCTGATTCGTGTGAGCAAAAGCAAGGCCACCATCAGTGGGGAGCGGAAGTAAGTACCCCTTGCCCACAATGAGCAGGGGAGGTGAGTGGAGAGAATTAAACATGAATCCAGTCAGGTTGCTAATGGCAGATTCTCTGAAATGAATAAAAAGAAAGGGAGAGGTTGAAAAACTAAGACTTTTCTTTGAACATCATTGAAATAAAATTTTAGAAAAACAAAAACCCTGTTATTCTCATGGCTAAGTGAATTTTCAAGCCTGGAAAAAAGACTCCAATAGATATGTTAAATGGCCTGATTTGGGCTCTGGGAAAGGAAACATGTTAGAATAGTTATTGGCATACAAAAACTAGAGGTTTCTGGTACTGAATTATATGGGATATCTCACTTTTCGTCACTGAGAATTCTAGAACCTCCATTACCAGTTCACGTAGATTTTTAGAGAAATGGAATAACACAGTGGTTTTTGTTTTATACCTTTAGATCTTATATTTATGGAATCAAGAACATCTTTTGAGCAGGAATTCTGAATCCCAGGTCTCTATGAGAATCTGGTTAAAACTATAGACCTTTTTCCATGTACCCCAAATTTTCACCCAAATTTGGAATTTACTGGGCTTGGAGGTCCTGATACTTAGTTTAGAGAGAAAATTAGCTCCATATAGATGTGGATGTTCATTTGTTCATCTGAGTTTTAATCTGTTATTGAGTTTTAATTTATTGCTGAGTTTTAAGCTGAATTTTAATATGTTGTCCATTGTTTCACTCTCTTGGCCTTTTATAGTTTTTTGAGTGTTCAGTAAAAATGCCAATTAGTTTCTAATATTCCAGCCTAAGTTACCAGTGCCCTGGCCTACTTCAGGAATGTGACTAGTCTGTCCATACCTCTTGCTCTCTTCAGTTTTTCTCCCATAGCACAGCCAGAATAATCTCTCTGAAAACTCATCTGATAGTGCTGTCCCTTGACCATCTACTTAAAACCCTTCAGTGGTTTCTTTTAGTTAGAAAAAAGGCAAAAATCTGTTTGCCCTGCCCAGCCTCCCCATCTCTCTGTTTTCTTCTCCCACTATTGGTTCTTGTTCCGGTTCCAAAAACCAGCCTTGTTCTCTCCTGCCTTAGGGCTCTTGTGTATGGTATTCTCTCTCACCCTGAAGGCCCTTCTCATGTGTCTTCATCTACATACCCCCGTTTATCTGTTTAAACACTGGTTGCTCACAGGATACTTTCAGGACCCGCCTAACGTTCACAAATTCCTGTTGTAGGCTCTCCTAGCACTGCTCTGCTCTTTCATAGCACTTGTCACAGCTACGGTGTTACATTTTTACAACTCTATAAATCTGTGATGATTTTGCTAATACTCAATTCTTCCCATACTCTGTAAGACTCTGCCTTTACTCGGGTGCCTGGGTGGCTCAGTTGGTTGAGCGACTGCCTTCGGCTCAGGTCATGATCCTGGAGTCCTGGGATCGAGTCCCGCATCGGGCTCCCTGC